TAATGTTATACTCGTGTTAAAACTGAAAACTATTTATTTAAAATTCGTTTATTACCCTGGGAAGATATTGAGTAAGTTCCACGCTTATGTGGCAAAGTACTTGTAAAGCATTTCTTATTATTTTTTGGAAGGGAGGGGGCTAGGGGTGTAATGTTAACCATGATTTATTTTTAAAGCTAACCACATTGTCCCCCCTCCCCCAATATATTGAAATACAAATATATTTATTAATTGTAGTAAGTTTTATCATATGATTGTGAATCTTAATAGGCATAAAAAGGGTAGCTAATTTGAAATTATTCTCTCATGCCCCCCCCCAACCCAGTTGTTGTTGTTTGTTGTTTTGTTTTTTTTTTTGGGGGGGGGGGGCATTATAAATATAACATTGTATGTGATCCCTCTGGACGGGGGGTAAAAATGAATGGGAAGCCAGGGAATCTATTTTGAAAGTACCAAGAAATAATTACGCCACAAAAACACTACGGGAAAAGAATCACATACTCATATTTTGATCATACCCATTTTTTTTTGTTTGTTTTTTTGTTTTTTTTTTTGGGGGGGGGGGGCATTATAAATATAACATTGTATGTGATCCCTCTGGACGGGGTGTAAAAATGAATGGGAAGCCAGTGAATCTATTTTGAAAGTACCAAGATATAATTACGCCACAAATACACTACGGGAAGAGAATCACATACTCATATTTTGATCATGAAGTCGTGAAGTTAAAGTTGTCCGAGGCATTGTCATTGATACCAAGCGTGTGTCAACACAAAACAGCAGTAAGATGATAAATACGAAACACTGCAGTGATTTTTAAAAATCTTTTAACAATAATTAAATATCATTGATTTAGTTTTACATTTGCATTACACATTAGTAAAAAATGTCGGCGGAAAGGGCGGGGGGGATGCAAAAGGTAAGTTTGTTGTGCGGACGTCCTTTGGGGACAACCCCTATCCAGAGCCGTGATTAGTGAATGCCCCCTTTTTGGTTAAGCCTCTGCCCATAACTCACCACCACCCCCACCCCCTGCAAGGATCAATTTCTTAACAATTAAAAAAAAAAAACAAATACAAAAGCTTTGACATAGAGCAAATCCTGTCCCAAGCCCGTTGTGCAATGGTTTCTGCGAGAAAACGTCATGTTTTACCCTGAGAATAGCACATGCCATGCCATTCTGGAAACAAATTCTGTCATGAAAAGGGTAAACACAGACCTATGGCTTTGCTATACAGTTTGCTACCGCTCCGCAAGTTTCTAAAATCAAGGTGTTTTCAAAAGATTTGCTGTGAGACTGAGTGTTGTGAATGAACCTTTGATATCGTGTGTACATTTTGCGAATGCATAAGACATATTGAAAGCAAGATGGTTCGAGGTATAAATACGACCATGCACATTAATGACATTAAAATTATATGATATTAATGATATACTGGTATTTTCTTTGGGTGTTCGTTAAAGTAAAATGTAAATATTCAACTACACAAAGAATGTTGAAATACAATAGAATATCAGTAAGTCACTTAGTATTCATAATATTTCTCTTACACATGTTACATACACTTATCATGCGCTTCCAGAAACTTTAAGACATTCTAATGTCTAAAGTCTTATTACTAAATTAACCGGTATTTTCAAAGTCAGAGGCCGGCACAACTTGTTGAAACACTTTTATTATATATATAAATATATAAAGTGTATTTAATATAATATTTAAACATATATTTAAATTGTTTAAATTGCAATAAAATATTTTAAAACTTAAATGGGAGTAAAAAAAAACTCGATCCCCTACTGGGAATTGATCTCGAACTACATTATCGCCAAGCGTCCACTCTACCACTTGACCACACAAGATCTTCTCTAATAAGCATATCTTAAAACCAGGCCATTGGTACATTTTTGCCACGGTGTACCCAGGCCAAAGCCCACGATTTCACTAGGTACACCGCCGCGGTTTACGCAGGCCAAAGCTGATGGTTTCACTAGGTACACCGCTGCGGTGTACGCATCCACTTCGTATATAAATTATATAATAATAATACTATAATTTTATAATATATAAATATAGAGTAATATATAATAATAAAAATATTATAATTTTATAATTTTTTATTTAATAATTAATTGTCTAAGTTGTAATGTTAATCACATTCCCCAATTAATTCTCTAAAAAGCAGCAGATCATAAGACAAATAAGTATTGGTGCTATTCAATTATCTAATTATGTTAATTTGTTTTAAAATGAATTATTATTGACTAATGTGCTGGATTTCCAAAGTACATTTTTAGATGAATTTATAAATTACAACATATCCAAAATTCGTGAGGTAAGGGCCAATACATTGGTAAGATATCTACATACAAAATTTTTGTCACGTGTCCCAAAATTACCTATTAAGGCTATTATCGATAATTGACGTTTTTTAAAGTTAATGGATGTCTTAGGTCTTAGAAAAAGTGGTATTTTTTTAAAAAAAGGTGTGCTTTCCAAAAAAAAAAAGGCCGGCACTACGTACACCGCGGCGGTGTACCTAGCGAAACTATTGACTTTGGCCTGCGTACACCGCGGCGGTGTACCTAGCTAAATCATGGTCTGTGGCCTGCGTACACCGCAGCGATTTACAGTAGCCAAACTATGGTCTTTGCGAGTCTTTAACTTTTTGGCCTAACCGGTACTTGTAGATTTAATGTTATACTCGTGTTAAAACTGAAAACTATTAAAAATTCGTTTATTACCTTGGGAAGATATTGAGTAAGGTCCACGCGTATGTGGCAAAGTGCATGTAAAGCATTTCTTATTATTTTTGGAAGGGAAGGGGCTGGGGGGGGG